GTGTGCGCGCTAAATGATTCATGAGGAGCAAACGAAAACAGGCTGGCATACAAGCGGAAAAATAGCCCGTCTGCATTTTAGATGAAGCCAGGGTCCTCCGCCTTGCTGTGTCATGATATCTGGGTCTGCGGTGAAACGGGGCAGAGGTGAAAACACGTGTGTGTGTGTATGTGTGTGCGGTAGCAAATTTGTGCCGAGTGTGAGTACCAATGTGAGAAATGGTTCAAGTCTGATACAAAAATCTCATATCACATGGTACGTTATGAAGTCCTGCGGAGCACATGTGGACTACCAACACATAACGAGACAGTGAATCAATCACCCATACTCATATTTGAGCGAATAGGTCTACAGATTTAAGACAGGCATGGCCGTGAGCATTACCCTGTACCTCAAATTGTGAAACTGGCTTCAGATTAGCTGTCCTATTCTCAGAGCTCCTATGTGTTCATGTGGCAGGGAGCTGCTGTGGCCTTCAGTGCTGCTGTCTGTTCTAAGAATAGGCAGCAGGGTCCAGAGAACATCTCGTCTCTGAGTCTCCCTGCCTCCCTGCCTCCCGCTCTCCCCCACCTACCCTCTTTTTCTCTCTCCACATACTGCCAAGTAACTATCACTTAAATACACACAAAATAACAGCTGAAATGATGCTCCTACATGCACTTGGTATGACTACTAACACATTCTGTCAGTGTAATGTGGTGGGTCCCTTAAAATATATGTTGAATCTACAGTATGTAATCTTTGTATATTTTAAGTCATTTTTTCCTTTCTACATGAGTCCCTCTGTTCCTTTCCTCCCCTTTACCTCCTTCCCTGTCTCCCCCATCACTCTGTTCCTTCCCTGCTCATCTCCCTCGCATTTCTTCGCTTTCTTGACTCCCTCTGCCTCGTTTCCTCCCCTCCTCTCCTCCCCCCTGTGTGCACTAATGTGGAGGCTGAATCTAACTGCTGGATGACATTACTCTGCGCTGCCTGCTGGCCTGTCTGCCTGCCTGGGGACTCTAAAATAAAACACAGCAGTGGGGAGAGCCAGAGTGAGAGCACATACTGTATAGGCAGCCTGACTGACGTGTTCTGAGAGAGCACACACACACACACACACACGGTGTGTGAAAAACGCTTGCAGAGGACAGAATGTGTATGAAAGTGTGTGATGTCTGTGTGTTTGTGAGCAAAGAGGTCTGCGGGAGTGTGGTTGCAGTGAAAGAGCGAGAGAGAGGGGAGGGGAGCAGGCCTCTCCAGCTGTGCCCTGTCAATCATTCATGACCTAACACTTGGAAAAACAGAGGAGGGCAAGGTGGACAGGAGTGAAAGGGAAGAGACAGTGAGGGAGAGATAGTGTTTCTGAATTTTCCCTTTTGTCTGATGGAAAATAAGTCAAGGAGGGGCAAATGAGCGCTGAAAGACATACAAAAATATCTATGAGTGTGTGTGTGTGTGTGCTAGTGTGAATAACATGCCGCTGCTGGAACCCCATAGCCTGAATTCAACATCCCTCACCCTGAACAAGTGACAAAAAGATAACCACGTTTCACTTCACCGCTTCACGCCCTCTCTCCCTCTCTCTTACTCATTCTCTTTTTCATCCTGCTCTTCACCACCCCTCCTCCAACCCCCACCCCTTCCTCACCTCACCCTCCCACCCCCAGCTCTCACTCTGTCTTTCCACATGGCTGGCCATCCTCTCCCATGTCCCAGAGGATGGGAGGCTGTGCGGCAGCTTGGCAGGCTGTCAGGGGAGCGCCGGAGAGCAGGGAACATGTAGTGACTGGAACGGGGGTGGCGGTGGGGTTAGAGGTAGGGATGGGGGAGTAGGGGGTTGGGGGGTATGAAAGCCCTTGATCCTCACTTCACTGCTGTGGCACTGGCAGAACTGGCTCTGCTTAACCACGATAGGTAAAAGATACAAAGGGCTGAGGGTGCTACAGAGAGGGGGAAAACACAGTCGTCTCACTCCTCCCCTATTTTCATGTACCAGAAACGTTTCCACCACACATAGCAGGAAATAACATGGCAGCAGTCAACATGTCATCCTAGCAATCCTGCAGTCCAGCTCTGTAACACCCTGTCAGTAACATGACACGTCACCTTTTGTTGACCCGTAAATGCCTCACCTGTTGTGGGCACATCAGGCTCAAATGGCTGAACGAAGAGAAGCATCATTCTTTTAACTTTCTGTGCAATTTAAACAGTGATGCCTGATGTATGGTATAAGACAAATGAACAGATGAGAAAATATTTGTCAAACGTTACTGTTATGGTTAGAGATAAAAACTGTATTTAAAGTACTTTTACATAAAGGACTAATCAAAACCAAGACATATGGGGGTTACTGCCATCTTTTACTTAAATGTTTCACAATCAAACTCTCAAATGATCTTTACGCTGGCTCCTGACTTCACTATTGTGTGGAACTGGAAGAACAGGCTGAGCTGAACCAGAGCAAGTCTGCCGAGGCTGATAATAGTATGAGAGGAATACTGTACTGTTAATGCTAACCCTATGTTGAAAATCAAGCGGTAAATGCCAGGTGAGTTTATAAAAATACTAGGACTGCAACTAATGATTATTTTCATTGTCCATTAATCTGTCAATTATTTTCTCGATTAACAGATTAGTTGTTAGGTCTATGTAATGTCAGAAAATGGTGAAGAATGTTGATCAGTGTTTACCAAAGCTCAAGATGATGTCCTTAAATGTCTTGTTTTGTCCACGACCCAAAGAAATTCAGTTTACTCTTATAGAGGAGTGAAGAAACCAGAAAATTCAGATTTAGGAAGCTGAAATTAGAAAATATTTACTCAAAGCGATTAGTTGATTATCAAAAGAGTTGGCAATTCATTTAATAGTTCAGCTCTAAATGATACACTGAAAAAGCAGCTGGTAAACATTAAAGTCAATGCTGACTGCTGACACCAAGAGGCTTTTTTTAGCAGATGAGAAGCTACGATGCTGTCACAACTGAAATGTTTGCAATGGAAACACCACTCACTCATTCATCCATTACTACTGAGAACCACTGTGGCCGAAAAGCAGCAGAAATGTTGTTGCGTGTACATTAACGTCAGTGCTACATGGAAATGTAGATAGATGGTCAACACTGACAGCAACGCTAATGCTACAATAACAAGCTTGTGCTGAGCGCTTACTTTGTGTTTTTCTAATTGGAGAATTTAAATGATTAATGACATGGAATACAAGAAATATTATATCTCCAATACATTACATTTTAAAAGACCCAAGGGGCACTGTGACTTGCATTCGTGATTCGTGAAGTTACTAAAGCACTTTTTCCCTTTGGTCTCCCTTCAAAAATCCCGCCACATCACACAGCAGACTCGTCCCAAAACAACAACATGACACTTTGCCGACCCGCGCTCCCTCCCTCCTGACAGAGAGAAAGGGGAGAAAAAAAATAGATGACAGCAGCTTTAGATCTGACATCAAACGTCTGCAATATAGTGAGAGAGTGGGGGGGGGGACGGTTACATCTCTGGCGTGACAGCTTGCTGGAAGAGCCTGGCAAACAGCGAGCAATTTCTCTCTCCTTCTCTCTCTCTCTCTCCCCTTCTATCTATCTATCCATCTCTCCCTCTCTGTGTCTCTCTCTCATCAAAACTTGCCGCCGATTAGGATCTCGGCAAGCCATGCGCTTTGGATGGGAAGTGAAAACACATGGAGAACCCAAGGGGTAAAACGCCAGGATTAAAGTGGCAAGGGAATATGGGGTGATAGTGGCGGTGCTTCAAATAGATCGGCCCACGCAATTGCAGTGGCTCCTCGCCTCGCTCTGGATTCACACACTGATACATCAAGGCCATTTCTCATTATAACACGGGGGGGGGAGTTCATGACGCTACTTTAGAGGGAAAGACAGTAAGACAAAGTAAAATTAAAGGAGGCAAAATGCCAAGATAAAGCAGATGACATACCAGTATCTTATGGAGGAAAGAACAGAGAAAGACGGTGTGTGACTGTGTGTGCATAAGAATGAAGAGTATGAATCCCAGTAACAACCAACAGATAAATCAGAACAACAAAGCAGAGTCAACCATCAGAGTGTGTTGAAAGACAGAGGACGACCAATGAACACAGACTTTGAAACTATCAGTATATGGAAAATATCACGGCTTAATTTGAGTTCATACACTTAATTTAGCTGTTCTTGCAGTTTGTTTCCTCCACTCCCGAGGCTGTTCCAAAGTATCTGGTAAATTAAACGGCACACACCTCAAGCAGTGCCAATATTTGCGACCATTTGCAAATGTCTATTTATTCTATTCTTGAAAGTGCTGAGGAGCTGCGAGGGGAGAAATGATAGAGAGTAAAAACCGATTAGTTTAGCCAAAAAAATAAATAAATAAATGGAGCAGCCCACATATCTCTCCCCTCATAGATCAGCCTGGCCTCACCATTTCTTCTCAATTACTCCTCCAGTCAACCTGCTTAACGATTTTTAGCTCACCACAAATGCCAAATGCGTGTGGGTTTGCATGTGTGACTGCGTGCATTAGCAGAAATGTCTGTGTCCGTGCATATGCTTTCCTGTGCATGTGGGTGTACGTGTGAGTGAGCGCATGATGGTTGGACCACAGGCTGATGCATGTGGCCTTTTTGCCTCGGGCATGGACGCCAGTCAAAACACAGACATAAGCTCTCAAATGAGCTGTCAAATCCATGTCTCCCATGGGACATGAGACAAAGGGGCGGGTTACAGGGTGAGAGGAGCATCTGATTGGACAGAAATGCTTACAACTGAACGCTAGACAGTAAGCCGGAAATACAGGAAGAGGAGGACAGAAATGTTTCTTTGAGGCTTGATGGATGTGTTTTAGTGTCTGCTACAACAAAGGGTCTCTCTCTCTCTCTCTCTCTCTCTCTCTCTCTCTCTCTCTCTCTCTCACACACACACACACACACACAATGTTTTCCCTAATGTGTATGTGTCAAATTCAGTGATACTTTGTGCTTATTGATGGGCAGAACTGTCAGTCACTCACCGGCAGACTGGACGGGCGGTCCTGGGGGACGCCATCCTCATTGTTGGCCTTACCAGAGTTTCCTGGTGCAGGACCCCTGGTGCTGTAGGCCTCCTGCTGGGCCTTATTGAAAGAAAGACAGAGAGAGAGAGACACACATACAGATTCATTTAGATTCACAATGGAAAAATTAAAAGGATATTTTTCAGTCTATTGCCAATATTATAAAGCTCTAGAGAGGATTCCAAATTAGGATATCACAAATGGTAAACATGGTATATCACATATTTAGGCAGTTATTGGGGGGAAACAAGAAAATTACAGCATATTATGCAGTAAAAATTGCTCAGGGTAATTTCCATTTTGAACAAGTCTATAAACAATTCTTTGATATATCTATCTATATGTATATATATTATACATATATACACTCACCTAAAGGATTATTAGGAACACCTGTTCATTTCTCATTAATGCAATTATCTAATCAACCAATCACATGGCAGTTGCTTCAATGCATTTAGGGGTGTGGTCCTGGTCAAGACAATCTCCTGAACTCCAAACTGAATGTGAGAATGGGAAAGAAAGGTGATTTAAGCAATTTTGAGCGTGGCATGGTTGTTGGTGCCAGACGGCCGGTCTGAGTATTTCACAATCTGCTCAGTTACTGGGATTTTCACGCACAACCATTTCTAGGGTTTACAAAGAACGGTGTGAAAAGGGAAAAACATCCAGTATGCGGCAGTCCTGTGGGCGAAAATGCCTTGTTGATGCTAGAGGTCAGAGGAGAATGGGCCGACTGATTAAAGCTGATAGAAGAGCAACTTTTACTGAATTAACCACTCGTTACAACCGAGGTATGCAGCAAAGCATTTGTGAAGCCACAACACGCACAACCTTGAGGCGGATGGGCTACAACAGCAGAAGACCCCACCGGGTACCACTCATCTCCACTACAAATAGGAAAAAGAGGCTACAATTTGCAAGAGCTCACCAAAATTGGACAGTTGAAGACTGGAAAAATGTTGCCTGGTCTGATGAGTCTCGATTTCTGTTAGACATTCAGATGGTAGAGTCAGAATTTGGCGTAAACAGAATGAGAACATGGATCCATCATGCCTTGTTACCACTGTGCAGGCTGGTGGTGGTGGTGTAATGGTGTGGGGGATGTTTTCTTGGCACACTTTAGGCCCCTTAGTGCCAACTGGGCATCGTTTAAATGCCACGGCCTACCTGAGCATTGTTTCTGACCATGTCCATCCCTTTATGGCCACCATGTACCCATCCTCTGATGGCTACTTCCAGCAGGATAATGCCACATGTCACAAAGCTCGAATCATTTCAAATTGGTTTCTTGAACATGACAATGAGTTCACTGTACTAAAATGGCCCCCACAGTCACCAGATCTCAACCCAATAGAGCATCTTTGGGATGTGGTGGAACGGGAGCTTCGTGCCCTGGATGTACATCCCACAAATCTCCATCAACTACAAGATGCTATCCTATCAATATGGGCCAACATTTCTAAAGAATGCTTTCAGCACCTTGTTGAATCAATGCCACGTAGAATTAAGGCAGTTCTGAAGGCGAAAGGGGTCAAACACAGTATTAGTATGGTGTTCCTAATAATCCTTTAGGTGAGTGTATATATATATATATATATATATATATACTGGAAACCCTATTTATATAATGGTGAAAGAATGTTCAATAACACTCTTGTGTTTTGATGAAAATTGTCTAAATGCGTGCAACAGAGATTGTGGGGATCAGTTGGACTGTTAGAGCGTGTCTCAGGTTTAAAGGGCTGTAATGAAGACTCTGATTCTCGATTAGATGAAGTCACAACACAAAGAGGCACATTGCACACGAAAATACACAAAAACACACACACACACACACACACACACAGATACAGTACATACAGACTGAAAAACATCCAAACATCAGCACACCATAACCCGCCAATTCATTTCAACCAAATCCCAGCCTAACCACCCACTAATCCTCGAAACATACACACACACACACACACACACACACACACACACACACAAACATACACACACACACAAACACACACCAAAACACACACTCAGTCCTATTGTTCAATCTAAGTCATTTTCTTTCCCTCTGTAATCACTAGCCTATCTAGTGTAAACCAATTTTCTCCCCATTGTCGGAGGTGTTGCCCTCTCCCTCTCCCTCACTCTGTATCTCTCCCTCCCCCTCTTCTTTTCATTCACCACGGAGGTCGTTCCTCCATCATGTTAAGCGTCGGCGGCACAATGGCAACTTGTTAAAGAGCTCTGAGTGGAAGGATTAGTGATAACTGATCGGCGAGACGCGGCGAGAGATCACACGCGAGCCCTTGCACACGCGAGCATACATACACACAGCCGCATGTATATGTACACATACACACATACGGGGTGTGTTCAAGTTTCTATTCTCAAAATTCATTTTTCCCTCCACGGTTTGATTTCTTATCTGTTGTGTGATTATACTGTAGTAGGTGGGCAATATCCCTGTCAGCTAGGTGATATAATTTTATAGCTGAAGATTATCCTTCACAGCAAGAGATGTATCATGCGAAATGGATCTATTATTAGAGCAATAAATGGGTCGTAATTCGTGCATCCAGGGTGAATGATACCAATTCCCTACTTTTGTTCATTCTTTATGAAATCTGATATAAGGTTTTATACACTCTATAGATTACCTGCAAAGTTAGTCTACGCACACAGTTTGCCTGCTGCATTAGCAGATGTGCACACACACAGAGACAAAAAGTTAATGTATTCATTCATCCATTATAAAGAAAAGGTAATGTAATGACCTTAAATGCCCTAGAGTAGTCCCTTCCAATCCACATTTCACTTATTAGCCAATTAAAAACAGTGAAGCACTAAAAGCATAGAAAATATCCGGAATGTTTCCTGAAATGTCAATTATTCAAAATACCAGTCTTTGCATGAAGTGAACTAGCATGTCTGCCTTGGGCAGTGCTCCTAAATCTGGTCCTTCAGTGTCTCTGTTTAGCGTAAGTTCCCTGAATGTGTTCCAAGGGTTTATCTGTTTCATATGTTTCAATAGGTCTAATCAATTTGTTTTTTCACTGAGCCATCTCCTCAAGGGCTGCTTAGTTAATTTAATAAAAAACATTATCACAATTTTAGTTTTCTCAGCTAATAGGTGGAAAAATAAAGGCATGTCAGCAACATTTAAGATGACAGGAAAATTGGCATAATGTGAGTGTCCGGCTTCCAAAATTTGTTTCTAAAAGTGCACAAAGAAGTAACTACAAGAGGCTTTCAGTAAGTAAAAGTGACTGGACTAAAAAAAAAAAAAAAAAAAATGCTTTGTGAGATTGAATTGTTTCATAATTGCATATGCATGTAACTTACTTTTAGGTCTCTCTTGCAAAACAGATCTTGAACTCCATTAGACCTCATAAATAAGTAATAAGTAATAAGCTTAAATATATACTTTTTTTCATTTTTATTCAAAAAATAATCACAATGAAAATAGAAGCCAAATAAATGGAATAATCTTGCCACAATAGCTCCCTTATTTTAATCGTAATTTAAAACCACAAAACCAGCAACATCCCCCTTAACCACATCTAAAAGCCAAAGGGGAACCCCTGTTCAACAAGATGCGGTTCAATCACAGGATCACATATCATCCCATAAGTGGGTAGGTGCAAGACAGACACTTAACAACAGGATTGCAGCAAAAAACGGAGGTGCTATTTTAACAACAAAGCCACGCCGGTTTCTTCGTCAGAGCCCTCGGGAAGCCCTGTGTTTGTGTGCACAGGCCCGTGTTTATCAATGAGAGCCTGGATGCACGCCAAACGCCGGGCTTTTATTACATGGTCGGAAGTGCTTTGTTTGAAGCAAAAAAACGGCTTAGACACAAATACACCTCCACAGGTAAATAAAGGCCCGGGGAAGGAGAGAGGAGGGGTGGGAGGAGGAAAAGAAATATAGCGTAGGAGAAGTGTGGTGGCTTTCTGATAGGTGTGCGCACACACTCACACGTGCACAGTTCAGTTCACAGACAAAAATGCACACATGGACAGACAGTTGCTCACACAGTGAAATGAGAACAGAAGAGTGGCTGCTGACCCAAGTCCAATATTTACTCAGGCATATGAGTCTGCAGTGTGTATGTGTGTGTGTGTGTGTGTGTGTGTGTGTGCGCACTCGAGGGGATTGCCGCTTTAAGTGGGTCAAAGTGAGGTTAGCCTCATACTACTGTTTACACTCATGTTCTTACATCATCACTGTCAACTGTAATATGGACAGAGAGGGTGAAAGACATAGAAACTGGGAGGAGGGAGGGCAGAAAGAAACAGATGCTGAGAGAGAAGTACAGAAGTGGAGTTGCAGAAGAGACAGAGAAGGAGAAAAGGAGGAGGCTGGAAAGCACAGGGAGAGAGAGGGAAGACGAAGTGACAGAAACGTGTGAAAAAAGAGGAGAAAAAAGCGAGAGCAAGAGAACATCAGAGGCAAATGAGGGGAGTGCTGCGAGTGCATCCTTTCATTTGAGTTTTTTACAGTCCATTGTCTCAAAATCCCATTTCCCAGCTAATTTAGAAGCTTCTAAAATACACTCCACTCTATACCTTAAGCCTTAGGCCACAGCTAATCCTGTCTTCACACACACACACTCACGCGCACACACACAGAGACACGCTCATTCATCCTCCGTGCTTTTCAAAAGACTTCATCTTGGCATAGTGGAAACGAATGAAGGATATTGAAGGCAAGCGATTGAAGTACATGAGGGAATGCAGGAATCAAACTGTGAGTTAAATGCTATTAGACAGCTGTGTGGAGAGGCAGTGTAATATTAGATTTGATTGAATAGATGACTGCTGAATGTGGTGTAATATATAGAGCCGAAGAGGCTTTATGCGGACGTAAATCAATATTGCAGCACCATGTTAATCCCAGCCACTCAGGAATGGGAGTTAGACGGCAAGTGTGAAATGTTCGCAAAGCAGAAACATGTTGTACGCGAACAATTGTTTGGAATATGAGACTTGCACACATCCACTTTCAAAAGTAGTCTTATGTTATTTAATCTTTTGTACTGTGTCAGTATGCTGTTA